ACTATTGGTGATTATGACCCACTTACGCACTTAACTAAAACATTATTGAAATATACCAAGAATTCTTTAGTTTTTAAAGACTAGAGAGACTAAAAAGACAATTTCAATAAAAAGAAAGAAAATATTTGAACGATTATGGTCCAACTGTATCGTATTTTAAATGAATATCTTTGCGTACCGCAGTCCGAGGTACCAGGATAGCATGAGCGAGTAGATAGCAGATAATAGCCTATTAGAATATTCTAGATGATTACTTCAGATCGTCGTCCAAGAGAGCTCTGGAATCAATTTGGTCGTGACGGTAATATGTTAAATGCTCCACTCTTGTGAGATATGCCTGAATATTACGTACTCGGAATATTACTCGAGATTCAAGCAAGTGGAAGCGTTACCGCAAATTCAGGGTTACAATTAAGACCCATCATAAGTAATGTTAATTAAAATGCCTAAGATTATATGTTATTTACCTTATTATTACTAGTGAGCTGTCCGGATTACCTCAACCACTTCAGTCAATCATTTGCTATTATTTAAAAAATGTTAAGTTGTGTATACTTTTACAAACATTATTTTCATACAGCAGATACCTAAACCTAAATTCTGAAGATGATACAAACCAAAATCCCGAAAATATAATGGGTAAGTACAATAGCAAACCTCTTAAAAATTAATTCAAAAGGTTTATTTAGCAGTTTACGTTAAAATGAGCACGGTAACTATATTTTGGTTGAAAAATTCAAATGTTCAGTGAATATTAGTGAAAACAGGACCACAAACGTGTACTTTTCGTGACAAAAGTGACACTAATTTAATACGACATCGTTATTCCGAACGGTGAACACGTTTTAGCTAAATGCAGTCTGAAAGGTCCGTTGAAATTGCTATTCTGACTACCCGCAGTAGAGGATAATATGGAAATACACGTTTACAGCAGTATCGACGTTTTCGACTACGAGAAAAGCCCATTATGCGTGACAAAATTGATCATGACTTTTGACCAAGCACGCCCCCGCGCGACGAAATTAGAACCGTCTCTATTTGGATTTGCATACTCATTTCATTTTTGTCAATATGTATTGTTTTTGTATAAACCTACAATATAATATTTTATCACATTTTTGTGTAAATTGTTTTAGTATACCTATTCGTTTTTAGTATACCGTTTGACTCATGTGAATCGCTCGAAAATCGTACGAGTTTCGTATCTCTAGAGTAGAATTTAGAATGCAGATAGATCATTATCTATTGGATACCTATAGCAAGTGATATTGTCTGTCAATTGCTCTTCTCACTCATTTCCATACACAGCATTGCAGCAAAGCCACAAACGGATAGAATACCTACATTTTTAAGGTTAAAAGTTAATAAAAAGTTAATATTTTTTATAATAGTATGTTAAAAAACAATAAAGTGAAAACTATACTATAAAAATGCAAGTTTTGAATAAATAAATATACAAATGAAAACGCATAAACTTTGCCGAGTGCAACTTTGATTGAACACATGTATATGTTTATTGTATCGCAACCACAAAAATGTAAAAACTCTTAAAATCGTAAAAGACCTACAGAAAAATATTTTTTAGTCGACGTTGGATAAACCTATATACTAAAATTCAAACGATGGTTTCAAACATTCAAAAGTTCCACGCATCCCCATCAATCGTCATCCGGTATCAAAGTGATTTAGAGATATGAAAAAGCGACATTTTTTCAACATAAATATAAAACTGATATGAATTGACACAAACGAACGCAATAGTTAAGAGTCAATGCACTCGAGTTGGAGTTTTTCATGATTAATTGGTTGTAATATGTCGAGTAAGATGAGAGCAGCCGCGGGCCACGTGGTCCCAGTGATCAGTATGCGCATCACGCGTGCAAATACCGCGCCACGTCTCCTCACCACCAGCTGCAATATGCTGAAATTGGTACGTGGCCCGGAGACACAATATTCGAGCTCATTCCTAAATATCGACCTCACGTTTTATCATTAATGATAATACAATCCATCTCACATTTCAGCAGTTACACCACGCACTGTTTCATTGAACATAAATACCGCGAATTAGTATTCGGAGCGTGTGAACTAACACAACACTGCGATTGAGAGCCGGTTACTTTAACATTTATTGCATACTATGAATTCCATTACGGATTATAGCGGTAATGCTAGAACTAAAGCTATCTATTGTCTTCGTAAGACGGAGATAGGGATGAGTAGCTTAAACGGATTATGGTCCCGGGCGACGTCTGATTATTCTACTGCTTGATTTACGGTGACGCGATACGGAAACACGACGCCGACCTCTTTACCTTGATAGACGTAGTTCACTCAAAATGGACAATTTATAGTGTGTCGCGCGTCTGTACAATCAATATCCAACAAATCCCGGCGACGGGGACGAGGAAACATTGTGAAATATGAGAGCCACGTGTCAGCATGTACTCCGAGCAGGGTCGCTAGTCCGCCGGCACCACGAACACAACACTACGCAAGGACGCACATCAGGCAGGAGGCGAACTTTCCACATTACGTATATTTACAAGAGAGAAAAAGACATTTAAATGCGGGTCCGTGATTAGCCCAAGGACCGGATCGCCTGCCACCCTACGACCCTACATCTGCGCACGTGAATTGAACGATTCCTTCAGCTGCCGACGTTTTCACAGTATGTGCCTTTTTTCTAAGTCGTTTAGGCTAATAAAATAACTTCCGAGGCTTTTACCTCGATATAGGCCTGGGATCCATTTCAAATCTACATAATGTTTTATGGCACATGGTCGGTTGACAGGTATATTCATGATACGTTTCGAGCCATAAACGCTTACGCATTTATCGCATATGCATTGTTAAGTCAACGCCATTAATAAAGTTTTAAAGCCTATATTTTTATGACGTCGACTCGCTGCGTCCACGTATAAAATTTTTATACTGTAATATCCTGTCAACCTTTCGGCTCAGGTTCAAAGCAGGTACAGATATTTGTGTTCCATTTGTGAGTCACGCCAGTATAAATGTTAAGGATTCCGAACAAAGACATATTCCCTATGTGAAGCACACGTGTATTGACCTGTCTCGAGAGATGTGGTTGGTTACAGTCGGATCGAACATCAATACATGGGGAATCTACATAAATTCCGATAGATAATTGTGTACACTGAGTAGGTTCATTGAAATAACAGCCATTTTCCTTCGTTTTCCAGAACTTATTCATAGAACTGTCATTAGTTTACCCACCCAGATAAATAAACTGATTTCGTTCCATAAATAATCACCCTTAAGACCATTGACCGATCCTTCAGATCAACAAATTATTTTCCTTTTTGGGAACCATGAAAAATATTCTTTTTCTTTGCGCTTAAAATAAATCGAGATAGCTTCCTCCGTCTCATTATAATCCTTAAACTTTTTCCCCTCGGTTTGTCAGAATAAATAAAAATCGTTTCGTTTAAATCTTGAGAAAAACCAGAGGGTTTATTTAGGCGTGTTTTTAAAATCCTGAGATATTTTTCTAGTTGTTTATCTAGTGGTGTTTGTAGGTTAAATACTGTAGGTATAACATGACTAGATCCCTATCTAATGACACCTAAATTACCTAATTTAATGTCTTAATCGATGGTAAGTATAATTCGACGTGGGCTCGCTGCCATTGCAGCGGTAAGTCCCCTCTTTGAGGAGTGGCTTGAGAGACGCTACGGCGTCCTCACCTACCGCCTGACACAGGTCCTCACCGGACATGGAAGTTTCGGGAGGTACCTGTGTCTGATGGGGCGGGAGGAAACGCCCGGGTGTCATCACTGCGAGGACCGCCCTGAGGACACGGTGGAACACACCGTAGCGGAATGCCCTGCGTGGGCTGAGCACCGCCGTGCCCTCAGGGAAGTGATCGGCGATGGCGACCTCTCGCGTCCGGGCCTAGTGCAGGCCATGATGCGGAGCGAGGGGGACTGGGATGCCGTCTCCTCCTTTTGCGAAGCAGTCATGCTAGCTAAGGAGGAGGCGGGACGCGTGAGGCAGCGAAGCGCTGCCTCCTCGCGACCCAGCCATCGCGAAGGACACACCGGGCGTCGGGGATCGCGGGACGATCTCCGGCCACCGTAAGCGCGGGCCTGCGGACGGCGAGCATGGGTGGCTCCCCGTCCGACCAGAAACAGACCCGAGCGTACGGCGCGTCGCGTTCCGCGCGCGCCTCAAAGAGCCATCAGACCACCACAGATGGGGCCCAATAGGGCCGATGCCGATTCGGAGTCGCGGAGAACCTAACGGGTAACCGGGGCTCCGGCTCGACGTGCAGGAGAAGGAACGGGGTGGTTTTTAGTCAGTAAGAGTCTGACACTCCCTTCCGCCTCACCCAGGCGGGAGCAGTCATTCGATGATTTTCCCCCCTTAAAAAAAAAAAAAAAAAAAAAAAAAGTATAATTCGACGAATGAACCAAAGGCTATTATGCCGATACGTTAATTCCTCCGAAAATTTATAGCAATTCGTTTTTTCGGACAAAATTTTCCGATTGCATTTAAATGTAGCACTTCCAGTATATCTATGGTCACAGTCCCCCGAGTGATCATCTCCCAACCCCCGGCTGCGATTGAAAACATCGTGCCAATTGTAAATCATGGTTTTAACTGAGATCTTTTGACATAAATGGGCCCATTTTAATTTAATAAAATGAAAGACGTTCATTTGTGCGCGCTTAGCATTCAATCGGTTAAATAAAAGTATGATCTTAAATTGGATACTCAAAAAATCATCCATTTCTAAAGATTCTAGGTAATGGTATATATTAGCGTAGTCTCAAGTCTTAGTTAATATTACTTACATAAAACAGATACTTATCACTCTTCGCCGTCATTCCGAAACCTTATTCGGGCTTCTCATCGTAGGCACCCTAATTGTACCCAATTCCGCTCTTATTAACTTCAATTTAATATAGGGCTGCGATATTACGTACGCTCGAAGTTAATATAATAAGTCGTTATTTAATAATGACAAAACATACCTGAGTTGTGTTGGTTGTCGGAGTTGGGCCGTGCCGAGGGTGCTCCGTCGCGGGCCTCCACCTCCAGCGCGTACGCCCCTTGCTTCTCTCTGTCAAACACCACCTTCGTGAAGATTTCACCAGTCTGCATGCTGATCTCGAAGAAGTCTTTGCCTTCGTTCCGCGGAGAATCCACTATGTAGTAGTACACCTAAAAAGAACGGGTGATTTATTCATAAAGTCCGATACATGTTCTGCATATCTTAATATTTCCGGGGTCTTTGTTTGGTTTCGGAAACAAAACTGGAGATCCTTTCATAAAATATGTTCGCACAAGCAAATTCGAGAATCCTTTCTTTCAACATACGTCCTTAATAAAACGTGGCGATGTCATGTCACCGAGCTCATATAGTAATATTACACTCACGGGGTTGAGATGTAAATTTCTGAAATTACACTTAAACTCTGTAATGTGGCGTTTCAATATCCGCAAATGTAATAAACTGCCCTCAAGGGGTTCAACAAATTCCCTGTCATGTACTTACATTACGGAAAGATTTAAGAATAAAATTGTATGTATACAGAGGAAAAATTTGAATCGGAGAGACGCCATAGAGCGTATTCGTATAAAAAGTGTCAGTCGTCGACATATTATAGATTTCTTTGGTAGCGAAGCCTGTCAACGCTATACCTGACACGCGTCCAATTAGATTTTCCGAATTTTTATTCGCACAAAAAAAAAGGAAGAATGATGTCAAACGAAAAAATAAATGCGGAAACGGGTGTTGATATCAGTTGATTCGAAACATAGAAATGGTTGGAAATATTCAAATGTTTTGTTTAGTGGGTTCAGTTTACGCTTGTTTCGTTTTTATAATTCTTTGCATGGCGAATATATACATTGAAAATTAATAGAATTTGAACTCAAATGTTGCAGCTTTGAACAAAGTAAGATATTTAACAACATGCTTCTCGAATCGAATCTTAGTTACAACACCGCTTTCAAAGCAGACAGTAATAAACTTAACTAAACGGTTCTAAAGACGTCTTCCCGACCTGGAACTCCTTTACTAAACGCATCAGTTTAAATAATAGATAGGTTTCAGTTCAGCGCAAGGAAACTAGCGAACAAGCTATTATGTGTGTGCACTAGCTACCTAGACTGCTAGGTGCAATGTACCTAGACGTTTAACGCACACTTTAGGCACCCTAATGACAGCTGTAACGTACGGAACTCGGAACTATAACGAAACAAGTTATTTCACTTTGAATGTCGCATTTCGGGCGAATGGCGTTCGTAATAAGCGAATATTATTAGCAAGTATATAGGTACCTATGCATAAAACTTTGCTGTCTCCAGTTCACAAGACGCAAGTGGTTTCGGAAAATTAACTTTATTGCTTGATACATAAATCCTAGTTTACTCTAAAGCTTGATATTTTTGTGACTAGCAACTGAATTTTGAACCCAACTAGGTAAATACGTAGTTATAAAAATGGTTCTTGAGTACCTGTAGATAACTTTACACAGTTGTTTTACAGCAAAATATTGCGTACTGTATATGTGCTATTTGCTCCATCCAGCTATCATTATGACTAAGATAAAGAACAATGGGGATGAAAGATGAAAAACAGAAAGAATACGATCAAAATCTTCATCTTTTTAAGCACAATAAAGCTATTAAATCTATTTGGACGCGCAAATCCATCGAATTAGAAAAACCCTTTTTGTTTTTACAAAGAATACTCCTTTAAATGGAACGTTACGAAGGAGCTAGATACTGTGTATAAGAAGCAAAAAATCGTAGGTACCACTACTCATACTAAAGAAGGAAAACTTTGAACTAAGTTGACACGCAAATATTTAATATTCAAAAGCTCTTAAAGGAACCTCTAAATTTTAGAAGTTAGTGTTGAGTACGCTATCTTGTTCACTTTACGTTAGAGGTTAAGTAAATCTTGCTATAGCCGAACCCAGACAGATGTTCCACGGTAACTGAAAGATGAAACGTCTAGCGAACGCTACCTGAAACTTGGAAATAACAGCTCCGACCAAATTACAATCCAATAACAGAATACTGTTAAAGTTTCACATCTTATGTGGATTTTAATAACTCAGTAAGAACCAGTTAACTAGTTAGTTTTATTTCATCGTCCCCACACGATGTCTTCTACAGAATATAGGTCTCAACCAAATACTTCCAGATGGGCCGGTTAGCAGCGTCATGCATGGACATTATTTTTATTAACTGAGACGATAAACAATATACTATAACTGTATGATTTTCATCTTTCAACGTTCAAGCTGGCAATCGGTATCTAAGTAATCTAAGAATAGGATATTTCTGAAAACTATTAGAATGACTTGTCGATAATTTAAATCTTAAGACAAATTTTAGTATTGGTTTGACTTTAATCATTTCTAAACTCGGCAGTCAAGTTTTAAGTTATATTTAAGTATTATATAATTAGCATCTATTGTTACATGGGACACCAGACAACAAGAATGTCAATTACAAATTGAGTTTTATAATGAAGTAAGACTTCAAAATGATTATAATTAATAGCTTTTGTGACCTCTGAACTTAAGCCAATTGATGTGGAGCAATCAAATTTGATACAAAGACCTTAAGTTACTGATAGCATAGTATTGTCACTGCTTTAGTCAGAAGCTGTAGGTAGATGTATTAACTATGGCTTAGTTATTAATAGATAGATAAATCCAGAGCAGTATTCATTCATCGACAAATCCGGGGTATTTGCTAACTTGTGGAACATTCAGTACCTAGAACTAGTTATAAACTAAACAACCTAAAAAATGGATATTTTTGTGACAACGAAGTAAACCCGGACGGTGAGAATGTGAGAGTTACTGATGTCTTGTTAAATTAACTTTAGATACAAAAACAAACGTAAAACTTTTAAACGATTATTGCCTTAGACTGAGCCTGAGCTAACCAGCTAGTACTTTTCAAAATGTCCAATGAAAATTGGGTAGAACACCAACGCTGGACTACAAAAAAAGATTGTAGTAATCGTTTCATGTCCATTACTGCCCGCTATCTGAAATGGCCAGTCGCCTTCTTTCTGACGACCATTTTAAGATCTCTTTAGACATTTGGCTTCATAAAAAATAATTTACATAAGGTTTATTCTTCGGAAATTGCTTTTAGGTAAATTATTCCTTCAACCAACACATGAACGAGAAATATTCAATATTTTTTCGTATGTATCATGGTTATATTCAAAAATGTACGTAATTTTAATTGGAAAATTTTAACAACATTGCAATGTGAAATCCAGTGTTATCAAGCTACTATTTATTCCATATAAAAAAGCCAATAATACTGTCCAATTCACAAATAGAACAAAGAAAGAACTGACTCATCAATCGTGTTTCCGACTAATAAACTAACGAGGCAGTCTATGAACAATCCACTGAGTAATTTATTTACTAAGACATAGTAAAAACACCTTAATTTATGGCTCAGCAAATAGGTTAACCGTAAACCTCCATTAAGAAAGTAATTACTATTTACAATAGAGAGAAAATTATAGCAATAACAAACAAATTTCATTTTCTTGTCATTATCTTCACTTCCTCTGAATTAATTGGAAATTCGCGAATATTTACTGAGGTATTTTAAATGGTATTTTAATAATGAACATTGGAATTCAATGTCAGATACAGTTATAAAATAATTTATAATTGTGAGATTCTAGTCTGCTTACTGTTCAGTCAATGCCACCGAAAAACACGTTCTCTCTAGCTAGGCTATGAACTGTATGCTAAATATTGTATATCCAATCTATTCAGCAATTTCAAATATGTAAACAAACTTTAATATTTATAACATAAACAATATACCTAATATGAGGTTTTCAGCTTCGTCCTTAGGTCGGGTAAAGTACTAATATTAGGTTTTATGGTACCTAATTTTCAGTAAAACACATAATCTAAAATGATTCTAGGTTTTACAAGCATGCTCTGTATGATAATGAGAATGACAGTTGTAACATAACTAACAAAGGGTGTAAGTACTCAGTGTAACACAACTCTGCTTTCATCCTTGGAGAATAAAAAGATAAGTAATCTTATCTTATATACTATAGTATAAGATAAGTTTGCATATATATTCTATAGTATATAAGATAAGTAGTATACTACTATTATATAAAGTTAAAGAGTCGTTTGTTTGAACGCGCTAATCTCAGGCACTACTGGTCCGATTTGAAAAATTATTTTTTTATTGTATAGTCCATTTATCGAGGAAGGCTATAAGCTATAAAACATCACGCTATTATCAATAGGAGCCGCGCAGAGCGGGTGAAACTGCGTGGAAGTAGGTAGGGTAGAAATAAACATAGGCACCACATTATAGATACAATAATTGGTAGAAAAACATTCAAATTGTACCTACTTTCAGCCCTCGATTGTAGAAACAAAATAGAACAATCTTAGGTATACGTAAAACTATCTCTTTTTCTCATCTGAAACCTAGTACTTTACGCGACAAATAGGTCTTCCATCAGACTTACGTACTTAGACAAACTGCGTAACAATTTTCTTGGTTGGCGCTGTTGTTAGAATATTATAACCGAGATTTATTACAGCTATACGCACTCTAGCAAACGGAATAGTCTTCACAAGTGACAATCACTAACAGTTACTAGAGTGTAAGGGAAAAAACGTAGAAATGAGAGCCTTTTTTTTGAGGTTTTATTTCTTTGTGCTATGGTTTCGTGACACAATGAATAAATGTTGGTAAAGTCATTACAAAAAAAGTGGCTGCTGAGATATCTCAGATAGCTAGGAACAATACGAATCACATTCCTATTTCTATATAAACGCACTGCGTCGAAGTTCAAAAGTCCACATACTAAACGAAGGCCATGTATTTAATTATTCACGATTGCGCACCAATCCAAAGCGCAATCACAACGGTTGAAAATTGCATTTTTATTCCCTCGCGCTACCGAAAATTATAGGCACAGTAAATTGTAACAGTTGCATATTTGTACAAATATATATACGCGCCGAACGGTCGCATCGTGTCTCTGCATGTTATCGTGGATTAATTAAAATTGTAGGTTTAAATATACAGAAATGGTTCACGCAACGAATATACGCCGGTGGAGCACGTACAACGATGAATTAATATTATAAAAGTGAGCACCGCTCGTAGCCATTTTGAAGGACTGGACGTTTATAGCAAGGGGTGGCAGCCGCAGCAACCAACAATAAGACGTTTTATTATCGCGTAATTATATGTATGTAGTACGGGGATTTAAAGGATTTGTGTAGGAGACGAAACACAAAAGGCTATAAAATATAAAACGTATGAAAGTAAGTATCACGGGGCTTGAATGCTGATATCAAACCCGCTTTAGTTTACATAGTACATTTGACATTAAAGTTACAAGTACCCAAACCCTGCCTTATCGGTGTTGTTAGGACGAAAGGTCAACACGGATTTTATGATACATAACAGTCACGCATCAGTAAGTATGTATAAGTACATAAATAGTCCTTGCGTGTATTCTGTAGCGAGCCGCTTCCATTAAACGTATAGAAAATGTACGTTTCGTGTTCGTATTAGTAAGGCGTTGAATATTGAGAGCTCTTTTACCACTTACTTTATAATATAGACATGGGATCCAGGTAAATATTTTTGTACTGAAAGCCTTCTAGAGTACCCAACAACATACAGTGCGAAATGTTTAGAGATACAGGAATTAGTAATTTACTCAGTTCAACATTATAACAACAATCCCAATCAAAACTTATTATTGAAACATCAGAATTATAAATTAATTTTACAGTTGTTTGTTCTAATTAAAGTTTCAATTTGTTGTGGTATTTTAAACAACTTGATTGTTTAACAAAATATGATTTTCATCGTTTTCATGATCTTGTGAAAATAATATGTTGAGTCTCCGTTTTTATTCCTTTTGAAATAAAAATGCGACTGCCGGGCAAGGGGTCTCGGGTTCGATTCCCGGGTCGGGCAAAGTATTATTGGGTTTTAAAAAAAATCTCAGTAGTAGCACGAAGTCTGGAAATGTGCCCGGTATATGGCAATAGACTCACCCCCTATTAAATGGGACTCATAACGTAAATAGTGAAAAGAGGGTGTTACATTGTACAGTGGCATTAAGTGCCGAAATGTGCACCTCTGCCTACCCCTTCGGGGATAAAAAGGCGTGATATTATGTTGTTACGAAATAAAATATTTTTTTTTATAATTCTGTAAGTCAATGTCAATGCTGACTGCTCAGAGGGCTAGTAAGAGTTTGTTGTTCGACGCTCTGATTGGTTGGTTCATTGGAGCCAACAATCAAAACACCGAACGCAGTCCCGTTTCGATTACTATAATCGTAAAACAAGATCATAGTAAGACCTCAGTATAACACGTGTATCATCACGCCTAATCTTACCATGGGTGTCGGAAAAACCGACAAAGGGTCAACACATCGCTTACCACCAGGCGGAATAGTGGTCAAAGGTCGGCCCATCAAATTTAAACACAAAACATTTGACTGGAAAATTTGGACCTTTTAAATATCAATCTCCAACTCGTACCGAGCGCGTAATTATGGCAAACCCTCTCGTGGGGAAGAGGCTCATATAATCTTACAGTAGCAGTTCATGACGACGACTTTAATTATTAAATTATTCAAAAAGGCGTTGAGTACTAAACATTAGTTTTTAAAGATATATCATTCATAACAGTTATGTTCCCCAGTTATAATCCCATCGAAGCGGTAGGCAGAGGTGCACATTCCGGTGTTAAATGCCACTGTACAGTGTAACGTAACACGCACTTTTCACTATTTATATTATAAGTCCTATGTAATAGGGAGTGAGTCTATTGCCATATACTGTACAAATCCAGACCCCGTGTCAACAATGGGAGTTAAAAAAACACAGTATTACTATGCCCGATCCAGGAATCGAACCTGAGACCCCTTGCCCGGCACGCACTTGTCTCGTCACAGTCGCACTTGAGTCAGTCGTCAGTCAAAGATTTATCATTTACTCTGGATACTTATTCGATGGGCCTCTATCGTTATTTCTAAACATTACATTCTACTAGCAACTTCAAAAGGTAGACCACCCCAATACAGTAAAGTATTATTATTATCGTGTTTCTCTTCTGAAATTAATTCCAGGACGCATCTGCCAAAGTTAAACTACCCATACATAATGTATAATATCTGCCTTTTGGTTACTGCTTGCCGAATATAGGAGGCTAAAGGAGCTATTCCTAAACCGATTTAACAAGCAAATTGATTACGCTCCAGTCTACTAATACCACAGTACATCGTCGTAGTATGTATGCATGGGCGTACATTAACAGATTGAATTACATATAACTGGTGTATTGTAAGTTATGTCAATGGTTTCTCTGCATTTAATTTAAAGATGTTGATAAAATATTAGGTCTTTTCTGATCTTATATGACCACTAGCATTTTGCACGCTGTGTTTAGTTTGCTTTTGTTTGATTAAGTTCTGACCCTGGTTTTGATAGCAAGCGCGAGTTACCATTTTTTTTATGAGGAAAATCATCTGAATGACTGACATAAAACCACCCCGTAAAACTACTCCTGCACTTCGAGCCGACTTCCCATAAATCTCGTAATATAAGGTAATGCAAACATGCAAATCTAAGAGAGGAAATTGCGCACGTTTGTCATAACAACTTATTTAAAAAACTAATCATAAATAAGTATAAATTGAATGTGTAAATAAGTACAGGTGTAAGTACATACCGGCTCTTGACTTAAATATTATTAAATATACCCTCGTGGACCGCCCGTTAAGGTTAAGCTTTGCTTAACTTGGAACTGTGTTTAAATATGTAGCCAGTCAGAACTTATTCCAGAGAGCAGTTCCCTAAAGAGCACGTGGAGCTGACTACGCGTAAAACATTCACCAGAGTCTGACCTGCCCTCCATGAATACTAGTGAAACAGAAGAGCTCTCCCTAAAAATTGGTATTGACATACAATTCAAATAAATGAATAGATCAGATCAGTTAATATATGGACTCGACGTAATTTGTAGAATGTGACACGAAAATACATAAACTTATGATAAATTAAACGTATGTTAATGTCAATCTCAGACATTAAATTTTCTGTTGTAAATATTAGTCTAGCGTTTTTACTATAAAGATGGCGGAGCTAGTTTCAAAATGTTACTAAAACTAAGCAAAATCATTAGAATATACGATTAAATTGCGAGTTTAAAAATAAGCCACAAACAAGCAAACAGGTACAGAAAAAACTCTAATTAGAACGTTAATAAAACAACACTTTTAAAGCTCGCCACACATCAGAGAAAAACGTTTATCGGGAAATTGTTTTTGAAATCCCCAATCCAAAAACAACGAGACCTCTCCTTTGTGTACAAGACTTTAACTGTGAGGTTAATGGGGCTATAAAAAAGGAGTTTAATGAATAATAAACAAACAACGAAATGGTTTTGGTTAATTTCTACCTTGGGAAAAGAGATAACCACGATATTCCGTTTTCCACCTTTATTTGAAATAACTTTAGCGTTAGAAACTTGGGCTGTTAATAGAGGTTCGCAGTTATAATTTTGAAGGTCAATGTACCCATGTACCTATACGAACTTTCTGGTAGACATGGAACAAAGTTTGAGAGTGTAGAGAACCTTATGAGTTTCTATTTAGTTCGTGTACTCGACGGTTACGATTTAGGGTAATAAAATTTCTCATAACTAACTTATTGCTAAACTGTTCAAAAGATTAGAAAATAACAACAATATTGTATATTCCACGTACGTATATCATAAATACAAATATTTATTGTGAAATTCGATAAATAGGAACGTGACAATACACAACAAACCTTACAAATGTCAACAGTAGAGGACCTCACGAACACGTGGCGTTCCTTCTCAAAAGAGAGAAATGTATGAAAATATTTAATATTTACTATAAGAATTTTATTGTTAAAAATACATAAAGCTTTATATTCTGCTGATTCTAATTCTGCGCTAGAAGAAATGGAGGTTAAACACGAGGAAGCAAATCCTAAAATTTGCTCTAGACACTATCTAAACAACTCATTAGTGTTGAACGCTTCATTAATCGGAATAAAATAAAAGAGGTTTTAGTCATAAAAAACCTATTTAAGCTATAGATTCTAGAAGAGCTGAGTTCGAAATTCGAAATAAATTCACATTGGATTCATTCGATTGTCTATAAAATAGGATTTAACTTTTTATTCATGTCTGATGCCAATGGCTGCCGGGGCCGGCTTGAAGCTTGATCGCAGCAATGTTACTTAGTATTGAACTGTCAATTTCTGTTGCTGATCATAAAAAATGTAATGTAACACAATGGCTTTTATTAGGTACCTGTCAGGGTAGGAATAAGTGCATGCAGATCAGACTGTTGTGAACCACTGAGAATTATAGAGAAACTCCAATGAAGGAAAATAAAAATTACTAAGCACACACAAAAGCGTATATCGTTAGATGAATGTAAAGACTGAACACGTTTAAAAACACATTTTCACATTCTAACAAACTTCCCTTTTACGTCGTTTAAATATTGACGATGTTTTTGAACTTTGACATGACAGATACGAAAAACCGTGTACGCTTCGAACGGGCGCCATTTTTAATACACCCTCAGTGTTGTCCACAGAAATAATTGCAATTAAATCTACGAGTTTAATTTCTGTCTTGGTGACTAAGCAAAAATATTTAACCTGATATTAGAATTCATAATATGAAACGCCACAGCAAAAGCAACCATAAATCTCATGAATAAATTTTACTCTAAAAGTCGATAAAAATTACCTAAGGGTACATTTATAGTACCTATTTGTACTCTGACAAAACTGAGCTAAGTCTTAACATTTTTGTGGTTTCGACGAAAATTCAAGGATCCTTACCTGGTTATTAGGGAATGTTCCGTCCTTGTCGATAGCGTTGACCTGCGTCACCTTGGTCCCGATAGGTTCCCCTTCAAGCACCGTCTCTTGTTCCCGCTCAGTGAACAGGGGGATCTCGTCGTTCACGTCTTCAAGCATGATGTACACCGTCGCTTCGGAAGCCAGTTGCTGGGCGCCGTTGTTCTAAGGAAATTAAAGGAAAGGAACATTTTAAAGGTTTGTCAATATGTTTAACTAACTGTAATGTGTTTAACTAAGTGTGTCACGTTTTATATTCAGAGGGGCGGGTAGTTTAGCTATATCTCTTAACTCTTTCATGTAAGTCTTTTACTTTTACATTTTAAAGTCGATTATTTTGCGAATTCGCCAAAACTATCTAAACTATCTAAATCAGATTATGACGCATGATGTCATAAATAAATTGATCAGTGAATCCATCACTAATAAAGTCTATTTACCTATATTGAACAGTTCATTAATTAGGTAACGCACACATGAACCAGTTGAACTGGTCCTAAAATTAATTGGATTTAATATGTTCCAAACACGATACTACTTCCGGCCACAGAGTTATATTGTGCCAGTGCACACGAACAATACATAAACAATCCGGAATCCATGTAAACAAAACAAATATTTGAATAACAATCCCGAAATATTGTTCACAATGCTACCGAACGGTAAATTAAATGTGACAAAGACTATAAAACAATTTCATGACACTGTTAACGTAGGCAGTTTCATTATTCGGACTCGGAGTGGGTTTTTTAATACCTTAACTTAATATTGTATTAAAGCTTGACTCACCTCCACTCGGATCGTAAGATTGTACTCCTTGATACTCTCGTAGTCGAGTGGGTGGTTAACTTTTATATCGGCCCATGTAAATCCGTTGTCTGCCCTTTGTTGTAAATAGAATGTGTGGAATTTGTTGGTCTGGGCCGTGGAGCCGGGCATGAGCCGATAAAACACGGTCGGGTTGTTCTCAATACCCGAACTGAAAATACAAAACACGCTATAACAACAATCTCCTACACCATTAAAAGAAAAATGACGGAACAAAAACAGCTACTTATAATGCACATGACGACATTTACGGCAAAATATAAATATTAATCAATTTGCAAAAAAACTAAATATTTAATGACTTTAGGGGCATCAATCATAACAAAAGACTATTAAAGGTAAGTAAGAATTGATTAACTAGGGAAAACAGAAATATAAATTACCAGCTAGTAACATAATCACAGTAAATCTTACAGTTTGGTAAATTTGAATGTTCTTGAGTAAACCTGAGTAATTCTCAAAGGATTAATAAATAACCGTCGACTGGATATATGAACTTTGTAAACTCTTTACTCGATCAGTTGGTAAATAGTTGAATAGCGAGGTTTGCCTTCAAATTGTTTGGGCAGTGTATGCGTGTACCCAGTTAAAAGATTGCTGGAATATTTTTCATAGCGAGATAGTATTTTACCGCGTTGCGTATTTCGTAGTTGCGTCGTCCATGTATTTTTTATTTTAGAAATTCCTACGAGATTAAATTTTTGAAGTGACGAGAGGAAACTGTGAAAAAAAATTGCTACGTCGACCACATACTTTATACTAAAGGAAAATCTATTAAAATAAAAATTTTACTACTACATAATGACGGCATTGCTTTGTAATATGTTCACATGAAACCAACTATTGAATTTACTTTAATTGTTACAAAAAACTCATGTTCTATTCTGTATCTAAAATATGTTAGAATAAATGAATCCACACATTTGTGTAACAAATATCAGATATCCTATATTACCTATAGTTGATACCCAATTAGTTTTACCTATACGTCAACTAAGTTGGCTTATTCTAACAACAACTGGACAGCCATATTGTAGTTGTACCAGTTCCAATCAATTAACAAAAGGTATTTAATTGCCACGCTAATTGATGAAAAGCGTGATTAAAATCAGTAGTCAAATATTCGTACTGGGATATTTGTAAATAAAAGAGCAATACATATTGTTTCCGACTGAACGTTATTTGTATTAAAACAAAATTGAACTATTTTAACGAAGCCAGCTAAACTGAATACCGCGCCCATATCTAATTTATTAAAACGAGGCGCGAATTGCTCTTTGTTCTATAAAATCTATTGACGTTTAATATAAAATGGATTGTAAACTTTATTATTGCATTCAGAATTACCAAACTGTAATAAAACTACACGCGTGAGGTTTAATAATATCCTAAAACAATATATTAATAAGTAATTATTCTAGATAACTACTTCAATTATAAAAACAATACAACTTGGTAAGGATTATTTTTTAATCTGTATTAAGTTATTAAAAAAATTCACGCGTGCATTTAAAATACTTAAGCTGTCGCTATTTTGACACTGTCAAGGTAAATGACAGTTCCAAATGTTTTTAAAATTAGAATGGTTCCCATTCATGCCTCAATGTGAGGTGCAGTTTGATATTTTGATATTTGCGCGCTCAATTCAAGGCGCTGACTCGATAACTCGAAATTGCCTAGATTTGAGGCGAATTTAAATATTAGTAAGGTGAGTTAGTAATGGTTTCGTCTTCGTGTATTAATTATATTGTGAGTTTTGAAATGTGTGTTGTTTAGGACGAACAGATAGACCATAGAGATGTGAACCAAACTTGCCATCGACCAGCACTCAGTGATTGATGCACTATTTTTGACTAATATTGCATAACAGATACATTAAAATCAAGAGCCCGTGGCACATAGTGATGCACAAACATTTATTTAGTTTTATAAAAGAAGGTTCGACCCAAATACTTACTGTTTTACATCATTGACTTGCAAATTTTTGTTACCTACTAAGCATAATATTTTCATAATTCTCAAATCGTCAGTAATTATTTCAATAATTACTATACGATAATAATGAAAGGATCAATCAAAAACGTTAATTTGAAATGAGGTCCTTTAAACGCAATCAAAACATTTTTTCAAGTTTAGAACTTTTGAATAGAACTTAATTGGATATTTATGAACTTTGGCAATTAACAATTTGATAACGAATTCGCTAATTTTACTTTTCATTTCAGAACAATTTAGAAAAGTTTATAAATATTTTAATGAATCCAAATTGACTTAACTTTTTATATGTAGATATTTTTCTTTAAACCAAATTGAAAATGAGGGTTCTAAAAAATAGTTGGTACTCAAATGAAACCCTAATTGAACAACATCAAAAACAAAATCGTCAAGCACTATTCCAATAAATTGAAATGAACTTTTCGGACAAAGAAAAAAATAAACGAATGAACATTTACCTACACAAAACTACTAACTAATTTTAAGGTATTATTTAACATGCTAATTTGACCCGTACAATAAATTTCGAATACATTTTAGTTAAAACTCTGATATAGGTAACTCATAATGCACTGATGCCTCAGCCTACATGCAATACGATACACAGACTTCAATATTAGATACCCATTCGATACCTCTCACAGTTGTCCAACAACATCTATTTGACAAAACCATATCTACGAAGTTTAACAAACAGAAATAAGATTATTGTCTTACATATATTATCAAATAGATGTTCTTGGATCAAATAAAACACAGTGTTCCCCGTTCCACGTAAGCAGTGAGCCCTTCTAAATGCACGCTGGTGAATCACGACAGTCCGCGTGTGCCATAACGATGCATTTGATGTTTCACGGACAATGACAGTAACATCGTATTCTGATCACCAAGTGAGAGGCAAACGATACTGGAGACGCACGCGACGCACCGCCATACTGTTCAAGGAAAACCCTCTTCACTTGCCACATCAGAAAAATCTGGGCGTAGATAGCAACACAGCACCTCAAACCAAGTTTAACTTATGTATATGGCAAGATAGAGGACTCACCGTAGAATAAGACTAGTTCGGAGATACATTCTCTTAACTTTCAAAGATGTTTTTGTACGGATAAATATTAGTGTTTGAAACGAAAAGAGACGGTGCCAACAAACATCGTCCTTTTGGATGTTACCGTCGCACTCTACAAACCACTTACGTACTCTGCCTGTTATTACGACTGCAGAGAGCTGAATATCCTGCCAGCTCCAAGCAATGGCAGGAACAAGCGAGTACCTGGTGACGAGCAAGCGTGACGGAGCATGACGGGCGCGCGACGTCGCACTGGGCGTGCAGGTGACGGGGCTGCGTGCGGTGCCCGTGCCGAACAGTTACCCACGCACCTTGCTTTCACGGACACCACTTTGGCACCCACGGGTAAATTCTCTCGAATGTAGATCGGGCCATACACGGTGTGGTCCCACACGGGGGGATTGTTCGCGCGATCCACTACGTCTATCTGGACCTCCACGGTTCTGGACAAGGGCGGGAAACCCTTGTCTTGAGCCATAGCCTCCAACTTGTACGTTTCTCGCTATCGGGGAAAGAGTCGATGGAAACAGACAAAACCACGTCGTTAGTAGTGTTAAGGAGTGGAGGTGCGGCGGGCCCGGAGGCCCGCTGCGCCTTATACCAACCTGGCTTTCACACTGGTCACTACGGTACCCACTGTGACATTCTCTTTGATGTGAACGGGGCCATACGTGGTCATGTCCCAGATGGGGGGCTTATTGTTCCTGTCTACCACGTCTAATTCAACGTCCACGTCTGCGGAGGAGGGCGGGTCGCCTCTGTCGGAGGCGCGCACGCGCAGTCGGTACCTGTCCCGCTACAGATACACGGGTCAGAGGTCAGCGGGGAGAAACAAAACAGAACACAACTAAAATATAAACACAAGTACTCATCGCTAAGAAACAATTAAAATAATTAAACAAAATAAACTGAAGAACGATTCACTTCCACATTATAGGCTGTTTGCAAATGTTTTATTTCACAGTATAATGTGCTAATAAAGTAAAAGCTTGCACTCATCTTCTCACATCCAGTAAGCCAAATAAAAATATAGAAGAATAAGGATCTAAGGAGAATACAATAGCTGTAATAAGATTACGTTCGCTCACGTCGTCTGCTCCCACTCACAGCACAGGCTCTGTCGTTCTTACAGTAGAACATTCCGTACTGTTGTAGCCAATATTAGATGGTGCAAGAAATAAATTGGAAATAAAATATTTACCATATTTTACAAGTTTCGTCTGTACAATAAGGAGAAAGACAAACTGTACATTATGGGTATTAGGTACTTTTTACAGTAATCAAACTAAACTAATCTTAAAAATTAAAATAAAAAAAACTCAAAGAAAAGCAGGCAATGCATGCAGCTCTGCATACAAGACATGGCGGAAAGGTCAGGTTGTCATATGAATGGTTTGGTGACCTCTTAGTTACTACAACGAAACGACACTCATTGAAATGAATATATTACAAACGATGGACGTTACGTTAAACTGTACAAAATTTTGATTCGCGAACGTTGCCCCTTTCACAGAAGGAATATGTCACAACTGGACAGATGGCCAAACTGCCTTGTGGGCAATCTGACCATCTCAAATACTAATAACTAATATTATACAAATTATATTAATAGCACTGCTGCCCTGGAAAAAATCACAATTATCATGGTATTACTATTGCACACGATGTCATATTGCATGAGTAGTCGTCTACAACACAGCATGGACGCGGCCAGAGTCGAACCGGCCGCGCGGCGGGAACTATTGCTCCGCAAAATAAAATCAGAGATTAGTAACAAAACATGTACATAATACATATAATACTGATAGGTATGTTAAAAGCGTAAGCTTCCCAAATCAATTAATCGATTAATTACAATAAAATAAACTTTGAAACTAGTTTGTGCGAAATATACAGAAGTGCTGTTACAGAAACTGTACATGTTTTAGAACTAAACATAGGTTCAACGGTGAAATATTTACAGCAGTATAATTTCTGGTACAAGGTTAGTATTATACACAAGTCGTATTCATCTGTAAGATAGTTAATGCAAGACGGTGCTGCGGAAATAAATCTTAACGAAGATTCAGTGCGGAGCCGACGCTGGCGGCAACTCAAACTAATAGTGCTGCAAGAAGAACAAGCCCCCGACGGCCGCGGGGCCCGCAGCCCCACGTTGCCGTTCAATGGACAACTACTCCTCACAGCCAGGATTTACCCCTCTCCACAGCAATTTACAGCAGCGGTTAATTTAGAACTATTTACAGTTAAATCAACTTAAAGTATGTGCCAATTGAATCCTAAGGCCTGTAGGTAGCACTCATCCACCAAACTTTGTAGTAAAGTTGATCCCTTTCATTCATCACGCTTGTTAATACTCTCACCATGTGATCAGTGTGAATTTATAAACGTCAAGCATACTTACGTCGAGAGGCTTCTTTAAAACGATCCAACCCGATTCGGGCTGGATCTCAAAATACTCAATATCAGCAGGATTATAGGGCGCGCTCAAAGTATAAACAATGGCGCCGTTATTGTCGGCGTCCTCGTCAGATGCGGACACTCGCAATATGTTTGTGCCAATACTGGCGTCTTGTTTTACGTTCTCCACATATTTCTGCAAGACACATTATAATCACAGTCAACAATCACGATGGATCGCTGAAATTCATGCAAACAAAAATCTAGGTGTGATTTCATGCAATTATGTGCTTAATGCTACTGTTTATGTACACTATTGTGCTTACTTGTCGGTCGAACAGTGGAGGGTTGTCGTTAACATCGGTGATCTCAACAGTGAATGAGCAAACACCTTCTAAGGAAGGCTCTCCTTGATCCGTTGCCTTTACCGTCACTGATACGAATTTACCATCATCGCCTTCTCGATCGAACACTTTATTAGTGGACACTTCACCAGTTTCTTCATCCACAGTGAATTTGGTGCCTTTCTGATTTGGTTGTTGTACTATAGAATATTTTACTTGACCGTTAACGCCTTTATCTTCGTCTGTGGCGTGGACTTTTATAACAGGACTGCCGTTTGGAGCGCCCTCTTCCACTTTAGGGAAGTAAGTTGGACAGTCTTTGAATATTGGTTTGTTATCGTTTACATCTGTTATAAATACGACTACAACAGCTGTAGAGGTGTGAATTGTTGCATCGCCGTTGACGCAGCATGCGCCGTCGTCCATAGCGGTTACATTAAGTTCGTATTTATCTCTATCAAGTGATATGGCCTTGTTGTGTAGTCGGATGACACCAGTGATTTCTTCGATTACGAACTGGCCGGAGCTGGTGCCGCCGCCGACGAAGCCAAAGCGTACGTTGTCACCATCTTTATCAGAAGCTACTACAGTCGTGACCAGCGTGTTAGGTCCAGCATTTTCATCCACATTGGGAGTGTATACTTGTTGAGAGAATTTAGGTTCCTCGTCGTTCTTATTCTTGGTATAAACTCGGACAGTTGCTGTTCCGGTTTTAGCTGGTTCTCCCTTGTCTTTGGCTGTGACCACAAACTCATAGTAAGCGTTATTGTTGTCTGCGTCCAGTTGCTTGTTGTTGGTGATGATGCCGTTCGAATCCACACTGAAGTGATCGTCTGGAATAGGGAAATTTTTATTTTGTTAGTAAATAATACCTATTTGCAAAACTATATTAATAATACATTCACATTGTGTTCAACTTTTCACTCCTAAAACTAACGTCAGCATATAGCTATTTCAATATTTTAGCTATAATAAGATTAACACTGCGGAAGCTGCTGGGTTTGAACCCTAGCCAGGTAAAGTTGGGTTTGAAAGGTCTCGGTATTTTGCTAACAGGAATGTAAAATATTTCTTAGGACTACATGTCACAGAATATTTTATGACTATAATGCATAAAATATGAAAGTAGGTAGTAGATGTCTACAACTACCTTTTCAGAGAAAGAATATTAGACTTTACGATACTTTACATTCCGAAAACTCAAAAAGGTGTTTAATTTATTCGTGCATAACTGCGCCTTTCATGAAACGAGTAACAATAGAATTTCACGAAAGCTGTAGGTATAAATCATTAGTTTCACCTTCGCGCGTAGCGTAAAAAGGTCAATAACCTAAATATACAGCGCCATCTAGGAACTTTTCTATCACTACAGCTTCTGCTATAACGTACTAGATGGCGCTAGCGGTAACACCCGTAGCGCGTAGTAGAATGAGTTATTTACCTGAAACTAAATACTCGATTTCGGCATTTTTCCCGGAGTCAGCGTCCATTGCTTTGACTTTGAGTATGCTGGTTCCTAATGGAATGTCTTCGTCGACGTTGTGCGCTTGGTAGTCGGGTAACTCGAACTTTGGCGCGTTATCGTTTACGTCTGTCACGCGAATCGTTAGCTGTGGAAAGTTAAAAATAAAATGATCACACTGCGTTTCCGCAATCATTTGTAAAAATATATTAGACAAACATTTTTGGAATGTCTATTTATGTTTCCAAACATATTGTGCATTGAAAATCATAATGGTAATGTCGTATCGGGATATTTTAAACCAGATAGGTAATAAGGTTTTTCTATTCAGGGTCACCACAACCATTCCACAAACCCGGTCGTCATTTAGTGAACGATGGTATACAGGAGTTGCCCTATCCATACGCAGCACACGATCTTGATAAAAATTAAGTGGTATTTTTTACTACACACCTCAACAGAAGTAGAGAAACCTCCAGAATCTTCGGTAGCAGTCACCACAAGAGAGTACACGTGTGGTTGTCTCAAGTCTTCGAAGTCCAGTTCTTTGGCGAGCTTCACGATTCCTGATGTAGGTCCAATGTTAAAGGTACCAGCGCCCTGACCTTGAGCCTTCAATGTGTAGCGAATCTCGCGATCAGCGAAAGACTTGGCCTTTACTGAGATGATACTGGAAAGAGGGAGAAAATAGTATTATTAGTAAGAAAAACATAATGTTTTAGATCTAATTGCATACCTATATACATAATATTTTAGAGGGCTTGAATTAGACAACAAGAGCATCAAGACAAGCCATAATAACCACAGTTGATATAAAAAATATTGTAACGAAATCTACAATCCACGGGGGAAATGACGAACGTTCATAAACATATGGGTACTCTAATAGGTATATAGCCTAGTAATGGTACTCGTACTATTTATTTTTCTGTTTATACCAAGGTTAGCATAGTTTTATCAGGATAGCCTACCCAGAAAAAAGTATCAAGAAATAAATCAACAGTTATCAAACAAAAGCAACTAAAAAATGTAACACAATATCGCTCGAATACTGAAAGGCTATTCAATTATAAGTTGTCTGTCTCAAATATCGTACCATCTCTGTCATTTTACAAAAGCTTAACCCCTGATTAACTTTACTGCTGGACATCACAATATTTGATAGCAGGTCACCAAAAACATAATTACAGGTCCAATTAAACAAGCTATTAACATAAAATTACTGAACAATTGGGTAATAAAACACCAAGTATATTTATTTCAGTAGTATTGTGAGTTAGACATCGTTAATGGGTGACCCAGTTATGTGTTTATACGGACGCATGGTTGTTGGTGAAATTCTAACAATTGGACGTGTCAACACTCTCTGTTTCAATTTAGATCGACTCGAAGAGCCTATTAACTACCTATTTGAATAATTTATAATCGTAAATACTGAATTTGTCGAATGATTGTTTTATGACTACTGTCTTGTTTAAAGAAGTTGGGACTCAACGAGGAAGTGTCTTGTTTTAAGTCCATCGAGGTGTGTAAATGTTATTAGGTTTTATAGTATCGTTTATAGGACAATCTAGAATTGTGGTTTGTAACTACTTTCTAATAGGTAGGTATGTATATTAGTTTGCAGGGCCGCGCCGACCCCCGGCAGCGCCTGTGTGCGGAATCGATGGAGCGCCTCTTTTTTACCGACTTCAAAAAAGCAGGAGGTGCTATGTTCGGCTGATTGATTTTTTTTGTTTGTTCGCACATTACTCCGCCATTTGTACACCGATTTCCAAAAATCTTATTTTGTTTAAAAGGGTATACTCTCGAAATGGTCCCATTTCCATGAGCTCAGAATCTGATGATGGGATCCTAGGGAAACCGAGAGGAAACGAGGAGAACTTTCGAAAATTTTAGGGGCGAGTAATGAGTCTATTATGTTTTTCAATTACGATTTTTATACACTACAATTTGATAACGGTCTGGAGTCGACCTGATGATGGAGCCGACAGACAATCGAGAGAACTCCTCAGCTGTTTTCATTAACTACCCTATGCTTGGGCTTGATTAATTTAGTACAAACACAAGGTAGTTAATATAAACCGCTGAGGAGTTCCCTCGACTGTCTGTCGGCTCCATCATCAGGTCAAATCCAGACCCTTATCAAATTGTAGTGTTTAAAAATCGTAATAGAAAAACAAAATAGACGCAGTACTCGCCCATAGAATTTTCAAAAGTTCCCCTTGGTTTCCCTTGGGTCCCATCATCAGATCCTGACCTAAAAATCGGGGAATCCCTGTGACCCTACTCCTATAGCCTCGCACGCATCGCATCGGGTTGCGTTCACAAACTCACTCATACTTACTCATACAAAGTCGGCGCCTTTATGATTCAATATAACTAGTAGGTACCTACTTTATCTGTGGTTCAAAAGATCTGCCGCCGTTTTAACGTTGATCTTGTAACTCGTAAGTAATGTAAACTAAAACCCTAAGTGTAAAATGAAACCATAAACGTGATTAATAATAAACATAAATATTGAGAGACTTGTTTAATAAGCGTAATATAAGTTTTGTTGTATACAAGGCCTATGTTGCGCCTATTGTACCTACTTACTTATCGATACTCTACTACCAAAAATATAATAATTAAGGTAACAAAAATAATTCAAGTAGAGGTGGTGGCGCGACACGGCGCCCCTATTGTCTTGGCGCCTGTGTGCGCCGCACGCTTCGCACACAGGGGCGGCGCGGCCCTGTTAGTTTGTTATTACAATGAGGCTAAAGGACTGGAGAAAATTTTGATGTATAGCGGGCTAAAATAATAAATAATCTAAATTGAAAACGTCTAGATCAATCTAGATTTTTGAGAGAACTCGGTAGACTTGATTCAAAATCGATGTCAATCCAATTTAAGATTGAGTTCTTTATTAATTTCGCGCAGTTAACCGCGTCAAGTAAACAATAATAGGAGCAGTTGCCGTTTTCCATTGAAAAATAGCGCCTATGAATACGTCTATCAATAAAATATTTTTAGACAGACACACAGAAACTTGACAAACCTGGTAGTCAGAATAAACTATTTACGTAAGTATCTGTAACAGTTACAGACGTAAACTTTTACAGACTTGTAAAGGGTCATAAAAGTTAGTATGTATCGCATAATAAACGTGTGTTTAGTACCTAAAGCATAGCAACCCGGTGTACTACATGGTTGTAGTAAAATTATCTATAAAAATCTTGTGTCTAGGTCTTATGTTGTGCCTGCTTTTATACTAGGTAATTCGGGCCCTAGTGTATATTGAGTCACCTTATCATTTATTAATGGGTTTGATAGCGGTAATTTACTCATTTATATTAGATATACAATCATAAAAACATAACATGCTTCATTTTGCTCATAGTGTACTATTCATTGCCTAGCATTTAAGCACTATTTTAGTCGTTAGATTTTCTACTTTTACGCCCCTAAACTGATAAAAACATCTCAATAGAAATTGTCTTCAAAATATTTCATTGGAAGTGTTGGAATCAAATAATTTAGTACAACTATTATTCTACAATGTCGCCAATTGTTGTACCAACACAAAAAGTTTTACACTTAGATACAGCTTCCAATAAAATAAAAATAGGTACCAGGAATCATGTAAGTAAGTAGGTAAGTACCAAAACAATTTGTTTTTTTGTATTGAAAGTAACAATATTTACGTAAAAAGAAAACTCCCAACCCACTCGGAGCAAGGTCAAGTATTCCATTACTCCCGCTCCACGTTTTCTCACAAAAATATACAAATACGAGTGATTTGTTATCGTTCTAGTATGACATAGAGGAAATCTACCAACACCAATAAATTTGTTCTTAATATTCTTATTTATTTTCCTCGGCCGTTCGGTCAGAAAAACTGATATTATTTATTGGTAACACCGAACAGAAACACTAATGTTTTCTACTTCCATTTTTGCACTCGAATAAAGTTGGTGAGATATTTTATTGGTTATGGACCATTCTCTGTAACCTATTCAGTAATTTGTCTACTAGAAATAGTATTGTAACACATCTATTTTTCAAATATTCCTATCGTATTAAATGTTCTTGTCGTATTATAGTATTACAATTCACTGTCAAGTATTTAGATGTTTAGATGATGTCCTTGCGTCAGTCGTAAATGATAACAAGCTTATACAACATTTAAATTAATAGTTGTCAAACGAAAAGATTTATGTAACAAATTATGTTACCTACCTCATTAAAAGTTTGCTTAGGCTACTTTTATTTGATCAGGAATTATTTAGAATCTTTTCCTATTAAATGATACAATTCAAACACCTAAATTTAAAAGTAGATATCCAGGGCATTTCAGGGATAGATACATGACACACAAGTAACCTCAGCCTAATAGGGAATACTGACTCAAAGACGGACACTTCAGTTGAATGGATCCAACTACGTCATTTATTTTATAGCACCAAAGAGAACAAACCAAAACCAGTTACATACTTGATAGAACTACATATAAGTAGGAAGGTATAAGAAAATCTGAAAGTTATGGGATTTATTTTTTTTTAAGGGGGGAAAATCATCGAATGACTGCTACCGCCTAGGTGAGGCGGGAGGGAGTGTTCTGACGCTCCCTCTTACTGACTAAAAACCACCCCCGTTCCTTGTCCTGCACGTCGAGCCGGAGCCCCGGTTACCCGTTAGGTTCTCCGCGACAAAGTTATGGGATTCAGGTTGTTTCCAACAGTTCGACCCTGGGAGTCATTGGAGACGACGTTGTCACTGTTATGATCATGATCTTGATATAAAAATTTGCTTACTCAGAATCCTTCTTCTGGTTTTCAGCAATTTCGGCTTCGTAGCTAGGCAGGTAGAACTGGGGAGCTCGTTTGCCGCCCACAATACTAAGCCGCTCCTCAGGAGTTGACTGGAATCTTCGCTCATCGACACGGCCATTCTGTAATTTTACGACAGTAATTATTATAGCATTAATATCGACGGAAGGTAGGAAGAAAGGAGTTTACGGTTTTGATGGTCAAAAGGTCGTAATTGTGATATAAAGCACGACTTTTAAGATACATTCTTTCTTATAAGAATTCTTTCATAAAATAATGTATCTGAAAAGTCTTGTTTTTATTACCTTCACTTAAATCATGTAAAGTTTCCACACTATACAAAGAGTAATGAATTTGCTCCACATAAGCAAATAAATCTCCATTATTGATAGATTATGGCGCCGAGTAAATAATGACGGGCGACCCCGTTTACCTAGACTACACGTTCAATTACCTACGCAGTCGAGTAACTTTGTTATATGGGTAATCAGAATATATTTTACCCTCAAATATAACCAGTGTATATTATATGAAAGTAAGTAATAAGCATATGAAGTATTTCTAAGAAAGAACGTTAAGTAAATAGATGCATAATAATTTTTAAACATTTTTGTGCAAATTATTAAAATATCAACTTACATGAGTGGTAAATTAATTATGATAAAGCAGTTGTTAGTTGTAAAAAAAATTAAATAAGTTTCAGAACAACTGACCATAGATAAAATACTACGCTCTTCACGTTCTAAGTTCAAAGTGAAGACATAAACAAAATCTTTAGCTGTTACTAAAAAACTATAACTACTATTTTATGGCTAAGGAACAGCCATTCAGCCAAAGGGTAGACCGCGCCACACCATAAACTGCGACTGTATGACTCATAAAATGTTGTGTCATGTGCATAAAATATTAAATTACCTAATTAGGTCAAACGTGGTTTCTTTCTGCGAAGAAGCAGCACTAATGTCTGACAGCACATTGCAACATTAACTAAGACGTTTTCTTTTCTATTTTAATTCTTGGAAACGAAGGAACTTATTTAATTAACGAGATAAATATAAAATGATAGACTTACACAATAAGAAGTCTATTTTTATCACAAAGCTATTTTTATTTGATATATAACGAAACATCAGTGTTCACTTTAATTAGTTCACAGCATCGTGCGAATATTAATTGGATTTAATACAATTACTGATGTTTCACCAATATGTTTTAATTAATTAAACGATGTGAAGTCTATAATTAGCTGTATGAAATATCTGAGCACTGACCTGATCTTCAGCCTTGACGTATAGTACGTATTCCATATCCAGTTGAAAGGGATCGGTTCCTCGTGTCCTCACGACACCAGACCGCTCATCTACCTCGAACCTTCCTCCAGTTCTGTCTCTGACGATAAAGTAATGGATGTTGTGGTCTGTGTCAGGATCGCGAGCTTGTAGAGTGAAGACAGGGGTGTTTGGAGCAGCGTTGAGCTGCACAACAGTCTGCATCGGTAAGGGACGGTTGATGAAGTAAGGAGGCTCATCGTTCACATCCTTCACGTGGATTATCACTCGCTGATTGTCCGTATCTGCAAAGCCACAATGTCAATGTCAAAGGGGCTCCTACAAACACGTATTATCAAGTCAAGGGGTGTTTGTTTGAAGAGCTCTTGGCAAAACTATCAAATTATTAAGCGATCTGAAGTGTACTTGAGGGGTATTAAACCGCTGAAATTAATTAGGCAAGCAAATGTGAAATGGGTGTTAGTTCAACCCAAATTTCGGACTGGCTCTAAAATCATCATAAATTTTCACGTATAATTCAGACATCTTGGATAATCCTGTTAAAACACGGGCTATGTGGGTAATATAAAATGCATGAATCAACATGGGCGCTTTCATTTTGAGAAAAGTTTACTAGTATTGTTGAGTTTTGTGAAAAGCGGCTTGATATACGGTGACACTAACAGTGGGGAGGACCGAGTGGTGCAGAACTGCAGCTGTATATGTAAACAACAGTGCACCCTTTTTCTCTCGTGTGGCATTCTGTATACACGACATAGAATCCGCTTATCACGCAGTAGGAACAGTTTTATGCGGTTCGAGGCAAGTTTTACGTTGTGATTTTATAGCGGCGTCGACTAGAGCAAAGGATAAATATTTTATAGTATGCACTGTACAGGAGCGCAAAGTACTGCATTCTGTAGTACCCACGTCTGACTAGAAGGTAGTAAATTGCGGGTAAGTTTAGTAAAATGTTCAAGCAAAGTTTACCTAGTTTAAAAGTCACATCTTCATACATAGTTTCATTTAACAAGATTACTTACTGCGTACATTTCAGAACCACGAGATATTTTACTATGTTCATAGTAAGAATAAATGAAAATAATTTGATGTATGTACTTGGTAAACTATCGTAACGGAGGCAATATAGAGTCATAAAAGAAAAATAAATTACATAAGATAAAAGTACAATAAAATTGTAACAAATTATACTTACATTTGAGCGCAACTGGTGGGTTAGCGTGAAAAATAAATACACAAATATGATTAGTATTGCAAGTAACCATCACCTTAAATATAAGCTGTTAGAAGAATCATCAGTTATTTAGTAAGTAGAAAATAATGGAGAATCGCCACTTCGCACAAAATATTAAAGTAATTTATAATAAGTAAAGGAAATAATTGAATTAAAGGTAGGAGCAATAAGATGATAATGTCAGCGTCCTCTTGATCCCCTATAAGTAATAGACGCATGAATAACAACTTTACAATGAAATTTCCACTATTCACTAGGTATCGTCAAGTCCCGTATGATAAGGGACGAGGCTATAGTCGTATGTCGAACACAGTTCCAGTTTTTGAAAAAACTAAATAACTATAAACAATTACTTTGCCCTAACCGGCAATCGCACCGCTTGCAACCACTTGACCAACGATACAATTATACGCTTCTCTATTGACTCTACTTAGTACTCACTCTCAATCTTGTACCAGAGCTACTTACCAGGCTGGTAAAACACGACTCATAAACATTACAATAATAAAAAGCTTCGGACATCAGAATACAAATCACTCGCATCATAAGATGACGACTAATACACAGTACCGTCTTTATCACAAGGGCACTGGGGCCCGTACCCAGGGCCCCCATCCAGGGGGCCCCGAAAGACCGACAATTGGGTACTTTCCATAATCAAAAATAAATTATTTCGACTATTCAATACAATAAAATATTAAAAAATAGTCACACTTTTATTAAACTGTCAAACACCAAGCGGTCACCGGTGACCGCAACCTATTGTTCTTTAATTGTGTCTATAAATACAGTGCTCGACGAGTTAATTAATTTTATAACCAACTTAAGTATTTATCCAGAAATTTTTAAGAAATGAGTATGCTGTTTGACTCTGACAATTCATAATTTCGTACAGAATTCATGGAAAACTGTCGTTTTTGACAGTTCGAAAAAGTATTAAATTTGAATAGTCGGCAAGTACCTACCCAATTTCTACGACGTACATGCTACACGTTGCGCAGCGCACAAAGCAAATGCTTGTGTGATCTACCAATTGTTGTTTCAGGTATGAGTGTCATGTGTACGTGAAGTTGTATGTTTGTGAACGCACTCAGGATACAGGAGAAAATCCTAATGTGTGGTGTAACGTAAAATAAACATTTCACAAGGGCCCCGATTTCTTGTGTGCCCAAGGGCCCCAGCGCAGTCTAAGACGGCCCTGCTAATACAGCTATGGCTATGCTATCCTTTTTGTCCAGTAAGATCCCCCCTAAATCCTTTGTATAAATCGGCAGTTTGCTGTAATCTCATTTTGCGGTTACACTTAGGGGTAGTTTCACACTCGAGTGAACATGACAATACATTGACCTTAGCTGTGCCTTGTTAACATTTTATTCTGACGATTGTATTACGTTTTCTCTTGACATTCACACGTGGGTAGGTATTTAAGTGGAATCATTCGATTAGTTTCAAGCTTGGTTTATTCATTTTTGTTACTGATACACTCACATATAAACACAAGACATTATAATACAGGAAGGTATTTATTTTAATTGACTTCAAAACAGATGTGGTCTTAAATATAGTCCAATTGTTTTGAATAAGTATACTTTTTCCTAACCAAAATATGCCAATGCTATTTTTATGGCATTAGCGAGTAAACGACCAGACGGATCACTTGATGGTAAGAAATCGGCGCCGCCTATGGACACCTAATAGACCAATTTATACTAAACGAGAGGATTTTTTCAAACTGTCGTCACCGTATATGTCTGTAAACTTTCGTGAGGCATACTAAATTATTTTTTTCTGTTATTATTAAACTAGCCGAGTTTCTAGTCAAACAGTTACGTGATTAAGCCGTAATCGTAATAATTAATACAGTATGTGTCGTCATCTAAGAGCGAAATAGTAGAAACAAAGTCAATTTGACTGCTCTTTAAATATTATCAGTATTCTAAATGGTTTTAACGGCATACTAGCTTCTGCCCGCGACTTCGTACGCGCAATCTCGTTTTCTCCAGTTCCCGGAGGATTTTCAGGACTTTTTGCTGTCATAAAAACCTGACAATAATAAATACAACAAAAAAAATTTACCTAATCGGTCTAGCCGTTCTCAGGTTATGGCGTGACAACGGGAAACGCATATCAACAAGCGCGTACAACAGATTTCAACCAATCAGAGGCGAGATACTCATTCTCAACACTCGCACTTACGTCGCCAAATCAACTCATCTTTTATCAAAACTCCAAAATTATTTTAAGTTTATAAATGAGATATAGAACTGTTGCTTTATAATAAAATATACAGGGTGTTCCACCTACGCTTTGACCTTTAAATATTGAGTAGGTGACTGTATTTTCGTATAGGATTAGGACAACGATCTCAATATCTGAAAGTCTGTGCTCCTTTTGTAATCTATATATATAAAAGAAAGTCGTGTTAGTTACACTATTTATAACTCAAGAAAGGCTAAATCGATTTGGATGAAAATTGGTGGGGAGGTAGCTTAGAACCAGAAGACGGACATAGGATACTTTTTACCCAATTCTTTTTTTTTACTTTTCACCGAAAATCAAGAACGGGAACGGGAAATATCGGGATTGCGCGTACGAAGTCGCGGGCAGAAGCTAGTTAAGTATATAAGAAACGTGTATATTTAATGTATTACATATCTATAATTCTTATACTTGCTGACTGCCTCGTTGACCGAGTGGTCGCAAGTGTAACTACCGGGCAAGGGGTCTCGGGTTCGATTCCCAGGTCAGGCAAAGTACACGGGGTTTTTAAAAAAAATCTCAGTAGCACGGAGTCTGGAAATGTGCCCGGGATATGGCAATAGACTCACCGCCTTTTACATGGGACTCAGGACATAAATAGTGAAAATTGGGTGTTAATTTTGTGTGCACCTCTGCCTACCCCTTCGGGGATAAAAGGCGTGATGTTATGTTATGTAATTCTTATACTTTATCAAAAAACAATACCTTTCGCTATGACGTAAAAGGTTTTTAAAAAGTTAGGCTTTATTATCTGGAATTTATTCTGGACAGGTCAATCTGATTCGGGTGGCTTAATTCTAAGCGGTGTACCCATAAAATTGGGAAGATCACTAATCTAGTACTCAATTTCATAATTTTAGTATATGACTAAAATATAAGATTACCGAAGTGTTATTGTTCCAAAAATATTTAGTCATCAAACATAACAGAATAGCAGATGATAACCTTTTCCAATTAATCTGTATGATTTTACTTCTACTTTATTTAGAATATGAATCATGATAAACTAACTCATCATATGCAAAAAATGGCGTCCACTTAAATAGATTGGGTTAATTGTTATTCCAAATATAAACCGACCAATTAACAATGACACGACATTCTCGAAACCAACCAACAAATATAGGTACATTTCGACAAAAAGAATGAAAATTTCTTACAAACAAAATACCCTTAAAACGCCACCTTTTACACGGGCACACGCAAAACAAGACAGCATCACATAATTTAAGTAACTCTTGACAACAACAGGAACGAATAACCAACTAGAGGAACGCTTGTGGAGTCCCCCACAAACACTGGAGCCATGCCAAATATATCAAGCATATGTAGTATACAAATGTATTGATATATAGCGCAGTGGTATTTGTTTTGAATGTGTGCCACCTCAAATCTATTCGCTTTTTATTTACTCTCAAAACGTGCGACTTCGAACAGCCTAACACCAACCATGATTCCATTCCTTCGCCGCTACGTTTACGCTCACTGAATAAACAAAGCCTTTGTTAATTAAATAAGAAAAACAATCAATTCAGCATTAACTTGATATCTTGATAACATTTCTTATTGACCAAATTACAAACAGAAGTAATCGAAGACGGCTTCACACTAAGTGCCTGAAATTTGGAATCAAACTCCTTTGACCCAACTCGACCCCTACGCCAGCCTGGCGTCTCGCCAACAACTGATAATAACAGTCCATGCCAAGATAAAAACCACTATTCAAAAGACAGTTTTGTCAACTTGGAAGCAATTTGCTTAAACTACGAAAACTTTACAATACAATGCTTG